ATGGGTAAAACACACAAAAAGCTACCATGTTCTGAGGCCTTCTGTAGCCTCAGTGTCAAGCCACCTTTTTGGATCAACTTGAACTCTTGTCCAGAAAGGCCTCCAAGCTAAGAAACACCATGGCATTCTGAGATCTGGAAGCAGCACAGGGTGGGACTCAAAGAATCTGGCTTTCAGGAAGATGAGAGGCTGGGGCTTTAGTAATCAGAGAAGGGATGAGGGACAAGAGCACAACCATTTATCAAGTGCTTCCTGCATGATGTGCATATTGGAAGACCTATTTAATTCTCACAATATCCTTTCAAGGAATATACTAAGAAGAAATAGACTTGGAGAGGTAACTTTGTCAAAGGGAAAAGGCCAGAAAGAACCAAAGTTGGATTAATAAGCAAGGCAGGTGGGTACATGCCACAGCTACAGGGACTGTCTGATCAAAAGGATCTGGGCTGGTGGTAGAGGAAGACTTTATAGAAAATGAGCTCCCTTTTATGGTGCTGAGGATTGAACCCAGGGCCTTGTGCAAGTGAGGCAATACTCTACATCCCCAGTTCCTCTGTACTGTTTTATAAGCAGGGGCACCTGTGATGCCAGACATGGCTCCTGTGGGAAGACTCCCCTTATGCCTACTCTATTAAATATGGTCCTAGGCTCAGCTGTGTTCATCTGCCCAGCTCCATCACTGTGGACGTAGGAGGTGAGCTCAGAGGTGCACATGACTCTGAATGTGGGACAGGCGGGAGATGACCCCTCCCTCTCACCCCTGCTGCCTGCTCAGAGCTCCAGCCATCAGCCTGCTTTGATTATGATTTCTTTGAGACCTCACATCCAGAGGCTGACAGCAGCCAAATCCTCCTGATTGTCTGAGATGTTCCTGACATCAGAGAATAAACAGTCTCCCCTGTCTGGCCAGCTGTGCTGAGCAGCATTCCTGTCTTGGCCTGCCTGACTGGTGGGGTTGCAGCCCTGTGTCCACCTCCAGTAGAGGCCTGTGGGACCTGGTCAGGGAGAGAGAGAGGGGAGGTCACTGTATGTCTCCATGTTGGACAGGACATTCTCTTTGAGTCCCTGTTTTGCCCCATTACCATGCACCTCAGCCGCAAGTTACTGCTAGAGAAGCCCCGTGTTTCTAATGACTGTCAATTTAGAGAAGACTCCTACTAGTTCACTGTCCTTGGGGGTCAAAGCCTGTACCCCTGCCCAGGAGATTCCCCAGGTAATCTGAAATGCCTGCATTATTCTAGCTAGATTCAAAGTCTGAACACCCTAATGGCTTCTTTTACAGAAGCAGACACAGAAGAGTGGAGACAGAAGAGGGACTTGAAACCTTGCCTTTTCTTCCTATGGCCCTGGAGCACTGTGGATGCTGTGGCTATGATGATGTTAGAGGCTCTGAGTGGGAGGAGCTGCCTGTGTTTGTGGAGAGGAGTAGGGGTGTTTTCATCCCAGGCCTGTTTTGGAGATCAGGCTTGTGGCTGAGCCATTTCCTGCAGAAGCAAGGCCCCTGGAAAAGCACTGTTCTCCAGGCGCTCCTAAATCATCCTGTTGGGAACAGAGCTGGGGCAGCAGGACCTGAGTGGGGCTCTGCCACTGTGCAGAGTCCAGTGCCCAGCCTAGAGTTGGCCAGACCAGAGGAGGCACCTTGGGGTGGAGTGCAGAGCCCTCTGGAATAGGGACCCCCCCACCCCCAAGCACACACCATCTGCTGCTCTGGTGGCTTGGAATTGCGGGGGAGGAGACAGCAACCTTTCTGGGCCAGTCTGCAGAAGGAATTCCTCTAGGAGCCCCCTCTGGCTGCAGACAGGAGGGGAGGGAGGCAGACAGGCAGCCCAGGGGTCTCTGTGGACAGGTGTCTCACTCCCAGTCTGTTTTGCCTTTGCATAGTTGAGTAGATCAGTGTGGGTTTGTGCAACTGTTCTCAGCTTCTCTGTGTGGGTGGCTGCATGTCTGGCTGGAGACCGGTTCTTGGGTAGGAAGTGTGCTTTGTGGAAGTGTCCACATCTCTCTGTGGGGCTGTGGATGAGGATATCTTTGAGGGAAGACGCCGGCTTCTATACCTTTGCAAAGATGAGTGTCTGCTCCTGCATATGTGTGTCCCTGAGAGTGTGCCTGTGAGGTCATTTTGGCATACGTGTGAACTTGTCCTTCTTGTTGTAAGCTTAGGCATATGTGTCTCTCACATTGTGTGCTTATTTACCAATAGTATGACAACAAGCCTCTGAAAGCATGTATGTGTGTCTGTAATTTGTGCAGAAGCATTCACTGATTTATTCCTAATGTGGTTTGCTCATTGGACATCTTTAAAGTACTTGTTCTGTGACTAGCCCTGCACTGGGCAATGGGAATTTGGAGAGGTGTTTGTGGCTGGAATAGAGCCAAACGTGCACTATCATCTAAAGATGTTCCAGGCCTGGGGCCATTCTTACCTGTTTCTTGATAGAAAGAAACCGTGGCAAGTAGCAAGATCAGAACAATACAGTACATCTATCTGGGTGCCTCTGTGTGCACCTTGTCTGTATGTCTGCCTGTGTGAATTCGGTTTGTGTTTGTCTGATCTCCTAGAGGGCAGAGCTCACAGCATTTCTGCCATCTGTTGCCTTGCCTAGGTTGGCTCAGGACTATGAGACAGGCAGGGGCGGTGGGAGGGTCGCTGATTCAAGAGTCTAAATACCGTTCCGACACCCAGCTAAGACTTGCTCTGTGATTTGGCCTCAGTTTCCTAACCTTTAGAATGAAAGGGTTGGGTTACCTCAACATTAACTGTATAGGTCTTTTTTGG